GATTGAGGAGCTGCTCTTTTGATTTGGGGACTGAGCAGGTTAAGTGCTCTTACTTTACTTTTCCACCCTCATACAAAGTCCAGTTACAAAGGCGGGTAACTCCAATGCGCTATTCTTTTTTTCTTACCAGCTTTACTGGAATAATGCACATACAGTACAATTCACCCACTTAAAGTGTACAATTCAGTGGTTTTTAGTTTATTCATGGAATTGTTGTGCAACCATCACTATAGTCTATGTTTAGGACGCTTTCATCTCAAGAAGAAACCTTGTGCCTCTTAACAGTTGCTTTTCATTCCCACTCCCCACCTCCAGCCCTTGGCATCCACTAAACTGCTTTCTTTCTCCATGGATTTGCCCATTCTGAACATTTTATATAAATGGAATCATACAGTGTGTATTCTTTGGTGACTGGCTTCTTTCACCTAGCATAATGTTTTCAAGGTTCATTTGTGTTGTGGCATTTATCAGTACTTTATTCCCAAATAATATTCCGTGGTATGGATATGGACCACTTTTTGTCCATCCATTCATCTGTTACAGGCATTTGGGTGGTTTTCACTTTTTGGCTATTACGAATAATCATGCTGTGAACATATGTGTACAGGCCTTTGTGTGGACATACATTTTCATTTCTGTTGGGTGTATATCTAGTAATGAATTTCTGGGTAACATGGTAACTTTAGGTTTAACTTTTTGAGGAACTGCTAAACTCTTCCAAATTGGCAGCGCCATTTTACATTCCTCCCAATGACGTATGAAGGTTCTAATTTGTCCACATCCTCACCAGCCCTTGTTATTGTCTGTCCTTCTGATTTTAGCCATCCTTGTGGGTGTGAAGTAGTATCTCATTGTGGTTTTTATTTGCATTTCTGTGGGTTTTCTTTTCTCTTTCTTGATAGTCTTATTTGTAGCACAAAATTTTAAATTTTGACCAATTCCAATTCTGTTTTTTTTTGTCAGTTACTTTTGGTGTCATAATCTAAGAAATCTTTCCCTGACCCACGGTCATGAAGATTTATTCCTCTGTTTTCTTCAAAGAGTTTTATAGTTCTCAGTCTGACATTTTTATGTCTGTGATGCGTTTAAGTTAATTTTTGTGTATGGTGTAAGAAAGGGCTCCACTGTTATTTTTTTTTGCATGTAGATATCCACTTGTTTCAGCACCATTTGTTGAAAAGACTGTTTTTCCCCCATTGAATTTTGGGCACCCTTGTTGCTGTTACTTATTTTAAAGATGCCTTGTGCTTGGGATTATAAAATCCAATCCATGTCTGTTTTGCCTGGATGATCAAAGATTTTAAAACATTTTGAAGAAATGAGAATTTAGTAAGATTTGAGAACCCTAGAACTGGCAGTGTAACTTTTCCTGTTAAAGTAGTAGACTAAGAAACTTTGAATAATGCACACATTCTTTTTTTCTTCATAGGGACATCCAGCGGGCTCATAGAGTGGTAGCTGAGCTTCAGGCTGGAACGTGCTTCATTAACAACTATAATGTCAGCCCAGTGGAGTTGCCCTTTGGTGGATATAAGAAGTCAGGTGAGGAGCTGGGAGGTGTGAATGCAAACCAGGTCTCTAGAGATAGGTTGTAATGCAGACCTTACAAACCAGTATTCCTAAACCTGTCTGCAGATAAGAATCACCTGAGGAAATACAAGTTCCTGGTCCTTTCCCAGATCCACTGTGGCAGTCTCTGGGAATGGAAGTCAAGCATCTTCCCCTACCCAACACTCCCTAAATCTTTCCAGAGGGTTCTGACATATAGCCTGGCTTGTGAACTGCTGATAGATATCTCAAAAAGGTTTGTCTTGTGGGTAGAATACTCTTTCTGCACAGCCTGTGATTGCTGTAAGCATAAAATAAAATCACTCCCTTAGGGGTTCCGTATCAGGATGTCCATCATCATCCACTGTGGAGGTTTTAGATTCCGTTTAGGTAAAGTGTCTCTAAAGTAATATCTCAGTAACTTTGTTTCCTCTGTTATATCAAATTAAAATCTTTAAATTTATCATTAAGCAATCAATTATTATTGTTTTCATTACCCTTGATGGCATACGGGAGTGTGTTTCCTTAGCCACTGCTCATTCATTTCGTTTATTCTATAGTCAGACGTATGTTACCACAGCATACAAATTTATAAGTCTGGTATATCAGGAGAGGGTTTGAGGCATCAGGAGTATAGCCAGAACCTTTGGAGTTTGTTGCCTGTAAATATTCATTTACATATTTCTCATGCTGTTCTTCTAGAGTGAAAATTGGTTTGGGCTTTGTTGAGACATCATTCT